CCAGATTAGCATTAATGCCATGTGGCATATAAACATCAGGAAAAACACACAGCAGCGCCTCATTTCTCCGTAGCTGTTCAGTTGGAGTCTTATTAAGTCTATCCTATTGTCCACTGATCAACATAAATCAGTGCTGGAAGAGCAGGTTTGTTGTTAGCATTTAGCCGACTTAGCAAACTGGCCCTTTTGCTTCTTTTCACATTCCAGGGATACCTCTTCCTGGGTCCTTTGAAATGGGTTTTGCACATTGAGGCCATTCACACCTGTATTTAGTGCTCCAGAAACAAATGGATCACCAGAATTGATGTTAGTGCCAGTTCTGAACATGGTCTCTGTTAGAAATATAAATTGGAAGCCTTTAAACTACTGTCCATCCATCCATCCATTATCTTTACTCGCTTCTTCTTTTTTTGGGTGGCAGGGTTGTCAGGGGTGCCCATAACCAGCTATCACTATGTGAGAGGTGGGGTACGCCCTGGACAGGTCTCCAGTCCATCACAGGGACACATGGAGACAAACTAGACAAACAACCATTCACTCTCTCACTCACACCTAGGGACAATTTAGAGTTACCAATCAGCCTAACATGCATGTTTTTGGTCTGTGGGAGGAAACCGGAGCACCCGGAGAAAACCCACGCAGCACGGACAGAACATGCAAACTCCACCCAGAAGGGTCCTGGGCAGGGATTTGAACCAGCAATCTTCTCGTTGAGAGGCAACAGATTTACCAACCGAGCCACCATGCCGCCCTCCTTTGAACTACTAGTTCTTAGAAATAAACGCTGCATCCATTTAATATCTAGGTCAGTAGCATGTGTAGTGAACTAAGCCTCAGGTCAAATCCTGACCTTGAGGGCCTTCCTGGGACAAGAACTGTATTTCATTGATTTGAGTCCAGAAACACAAAATCAAGTCCATCCAGAGACTTTCTAAGTGTGTCCTGCACTGATCAATTGAAAGAACACTCTCTTTTTTATTATCATTACTATTTTACAATATCTTGATAATCAAAAGTGTGTTTAGTTCAAACCATTTTAAATGTTGAAGTGAACTACTCATTTTAAATCAACTGTGAAACAGTATAAATGATTTTCAATCCTCATTCAAAGTAGAAATCTAGTTAATGTCTGTTACAGAGTAATTATTCATTTTCTTGATCTTCTGTCTGAAATGAGCA